ACTCACTACCAGGGAGGTAATATACGCCATGTTATCCCATATACATCTCCCTTCTACTAGGGAGGGAATATACACCATGTTATCCCATATACATCTCCCCACTACCAGGGAGGGAATATACACCATGTTATCCCATATACATCTCCCCACTACCAGGGAGGGAATATACACCATGTTATCCCATATACATCTCCCCACTCACTACCAGGGAGGGAATATACGCCATGTTATCCCATATACATCTCCCCACTACTAGGGAGGGAATATACACCATGTTATCCCATATACATCTCCCCACTACCAGGGAGGGAATATACACCATGTTATCCCATATACATCTCCCCACTACCAGGGAGGGAATATACACCATGTTATCCCATATACATCTCCCCACTACCAGGGAGGGAATATACACCATGTTATCCCATATACATCTCCCCACTACCAGGGAGGGAATATACACCATGTTATCCCATATACATCTCCCCACTCACTACCAGGGAGGGAATATACACCATGTTATCCCATATACATCTCCCCACTACCAGGGAGGGAATATACACCATGTTATCCCATATACATCTCCCCACTACCAGGGAGGGAATATACACCATGTTATCCCATATACATCTCCCCACTCACTACCAGGGAGGGAATATACACCATGTTATCCCATATACATCTCCCCACTACTAGGGAGGGAATATACACCATGTTATCCCATATACATCTCCCCACTACCAGGGAGGGAATTTACACCATGTTATCCCATATACATCTCCCCACTACTAGGGAGGGAATATACACCATGTTATCCCATATACATCTCCCCACTACCAGGGAGGGAATATACACCATGTTATCCCATATACATCTCCCCACTCACTACCAGGGAGGGAATATACACCATGTTATCCCATATACATCTCCCCACTACCAGGGAGGGAATATACACCATGTTATCCCATATACATCTCCCCACTACCAGGGAGGGAATATACACCATGTTATCCCATATACATCTCCCCACTCACTACCAGGGAGGGAATATACACCATGTTATCCCATATACATCTCCCCACTACTAGGGAGGGAATATACACCATGTTATCCCATATACATCTCCCCACTACCAGGGAGGGAATATACACCATGTTATCCCATATACATCTCCCCACTACCAGGGAGGGAATATACACCATGTTATCCCATATACATCTCCCCACTACCAGGGAGGGAATATACACCATGTTATCCCATATACATCTCCCCACTCACTACCAGGGAGGGAATATACACCATGTTATCCCATATACATCTCCCCACTACCAGGGAGGGAATATACACCATGTTATCCCATATACATCTCCCCACTACCAGGGAGGGAATATACACCATGTTATCCCATATACATCTCCCCACTACCAGGGAGGGAATATACACCATGTTATCCCATATACATCTCTCCACTCACTACCAGGGAGGGAATAAACACCATGTTATCTCATCTACATCTCCCCACTCACTACCAGGGAGGTAATATACGCCATGTTATCCCATATACATCTCCCCACTGCTAGGGAGGGAATATACACCATGTTATCCCATATACATCTCCCCACTACCAGGGAGGGAATATACACCATGTTATCCCATATACATCTCCCCACTACCAGGGAGGGAATATACACCATGTTATCCCATATACATCTCCCCACTCACTACCAGGGAGGGAATATACACCATGTTATCCCATATACATCTCCCCACTACCAGGGAGGGAATATACACCATGTTATCCCATAGACATCTCCCCACTCACTACCAGGGAGGGAATATACACCATGTTATCCCATATACATCTCCCCACTACCAGGGAGGGAATATACACCATGTTATCCCATAGACATCTCCCCATTACCAGGGAGGGAATATACACCATGTTATCCCATATACATCTCCCCACTACCAGGGAGGGAATATACACCATGTTATCCCATATACATCTCCCCACTCACTACCAGGGAGGGAATATACGCCATGTTATCCCATATACATCTCCCCACTCACTACCAGGGAGGGAATATACGCCATGTTATCCCATATACATCTCCCCACTACCAGGGAGGGAATATACACCATGTTATCCCATATACATCTCCCCACTACCAGGGAGGGAATATACACCATGTTATCCCATATACATCTCCCCACTACCAGGGAGGGAATATACACCATGTTATCCCATATACATCTCCCCACTACCAGGGAGGGAATATACACCATGTTATCCCATATACATCTCCCCACTACCAGGGAGGGAATATACACCATGTTATCCCATATACATCTCCCCACTACCAGGGAGGGAATATACACCATGTTATCCCATATACATCTCCCCACTACCAGGGAGGGAATATACACCATGTTATCCCATATACATCTCCCCAGTATCAGGGAGGGAATAAACACCATGTTATCCCATATACATCTCCCCACTCACTACCAGGGAGGGAATATACACCATGTTATCCCATATACATCTCCCCACTCACTACCAGGGAGGGAATATACACCATATACATCTCCCCACTCACTACCAGGGAGGAAATAAACACGACATAACCAGCTTGTCATGCTATTACATTACAAAGTCACCAGCAGGAATATTTATTCAATATAAAAATGACATCATCAATGATATATCATGTGGATTGACAAGATAATAATTGAATTCTGAGATTTACAGCCACAGCTGTCAATAGATCTAGTGTGAGACTTATTAGCTTAAGTGCTCTTTACAGTTACTTACAGAGCCTTTTATTTACCTTCACAAGAACATATTAATCATGTAACACTCCGGCAGGAATTTCAAATTTACTCATTTGCTATTTTTTCTGCATAAAACATGTCCACGGCTTCTGTGTCGACGGAGTGGCGTCTCCCTCCCTCGGCATAGTAAATAATGCGATATAATACGGCTAAGGAAGAGAAATTGTCATTGACATTCTACTCATCAAACCATCCTATTCTGCAAGTGATACATTGTCCTGACATTAGTGTCACCACCATATAGCTGGGCTATTGCTGAAAACAGCATCAAACAACAAACTGAACATTGCTGAACAACATGTTTCATATAATCATAGCATAAAAAATATATTTCATATAAATGTTACATTAAACTGACAATAACAATTTCTTGTTAATGATCTCATATGTGCAGCAAAATCCCAATGCTAATCCAATGCATTACAACCTTATACATGTTGAACTATTTGACTAGCAAATTCCCAACAATATATGCACAAATTCCAAACGTTACTTTTATCACCAGCAAATTCAAAACTAAACAGCAACACACATCTTCTTTAACATGTTTAAATTTCTAAACATCCTACTGTTTCACACATGCCACATCTTACTGGGCCTGTGGTTTGATTGCTGTAACTAGTTAGCTGGACCTTCATCAACCATTATCAGCATCCAGAACTAGCTCTTCACTACTTTTAACCAGATTTATGTGTAAATAAAATGGACCCGTGAAGATTCCAGAGTAGAATAGGTCTTCAGCAACCCATGCTTGCCGTAACAGGTGACTATGCTTGTCGTAAGAGGCCACCAACGGGATCGGGTGGTCAGGCTCGCTGACTTGGTTGACGCATGTCATCGATCCCTATTGCGAGGATCGATGTTCATGATATTAATCACTGGATTGTCTGGTCCAGACTCAATTATTTACAGACTGCCGTCGTATTGCTGGAATATTGCTGAGTGCGGCGTTAAACAACAAACCAACCAATGTTAATAAAATGTCAATCAATTGCCCTTACTCAGCATTTACCTGATGAAGGAGCGAGAAGTAGCTCTGAAACATCTTGACAAAGAATAAAAGAAGTTGCTCTCCTAAAAATGTGTCATGTATTCATGTTCTTCCAACTTCTAATGGCCTGTCAAGACTTCCTATAGGAATCAGGGTGATACATTTGTAAACTTGTACACTCAGTTCCACCAGGTATTTCAACACTATATTCTCTTTATCACCCAGTAACCCCCAAGGCAATACACGATGCTTGCACGTCTCAGTACACACATCAATGTAATTATCACGTTACAGGTCAATAAACAGTGGCAATGAGTTGATAAACAATCAGTTATAAGTGATTATGTAACAAAAACTACAATCATCAATTGGGCATGAAAAGGGGTCATCTCAAAACTGAAAGCAATCAAATAAAGTTTACATATATATATCATGTTGTTTAATTATATAATAGTATATCAATTTGTTCACAAACAAAATAACTATGCAACAAAAACTACAATCATCAATTGGGCATGAAAAGGGGTCATCTCAAAACTGAAAACAATCCAATAAAGTTTACATATATATCATGTTGTTTAATTATATAATAGTATATCAATTTGTTCACAAACAAAATAACAATGCATCAAAAACAATAAAGTAACCCAGGGTCTGTAAGATAGGAATTTCTAGCCTCATGTGGAATGCAAACAAATCAAAATAGTAAAATGAGTTTTTCTTTGTTATCTCATAAAATTTAATTAATTTCCATCTCTACCAATGAAAATTCAAATAACATTATGATAAATATTACCACAGTATTCAGCCAAAGACATGATCGTTTTGACTGTTATTATGTAAACAAGTTTATTTACAAATTATACGTTTTAACACATGTAAGCGGGGATTGCCAAAAGCATGGATACTGTTTGACATCAAAACAATATCACACGTAAAATTATGGAGTGAATACACACATTATCACATAGCATTCTCAACGGCCAGCGTTTTCTCAGGTCAACTGGACTCAGCAGTGAACAGCGCTGGGCTGGAGATTGGGGGTAACTGACGTTTGTTTAGACGAGAGGGTCAAATGTACAGCTCGCTTCGCCGACCAACTTGGTTGAAGCGGGGACGAAAATATTCCAATATTCACAGACTTCTGCATCCAAAATCTTAGAAAGTAACTTACCGTAGAAAATGGCTAGCAGCGACAAGGCTGCAGTAATAGCCTTCATCCTCAGTGCATTGAGCGGTACCACATAAGTTAGTTTCCACAGTACTCCGTGTTTACACTGAATGAGGTCAGTTGTTGCGGTAAGTCTAAAGCTTCTGTTATTTGCAGTGATTGACAGATGACCTCGCATGTGCTCGATGGTTTCCGTACATTTAACGGGACCGCGATCGTCCAATCACAAAGCTTGTAACACGCAGTGCACAATGTTGTAGTTCGAGCGGAAACGACCGAAACTTGACGAGAGGTCAGGTGCGCGAAATATTTTGAACTCCAACTTTTAGCCTTAGTTTCGATATCATAAATGTGCTTTATCACCCACTTCAATCAAGTTGTGCATACTATAATTTGTATCGTATCAGAAATAAGGTTTGAAAAGTAATGTTCTGAATGTTGCGGATAATTTATTGTCGCGTAGCTCTGTGTGTTATGGTTGCCCCGTGAAAACTTCCGGTTTATTGGAAAGAAAATGATTTCGATGTTAAACTTATGCTATATTCTTGATTTACCTCAAATAAGATAAAAAAAAACCGACAGTTTGCAACCATATGCGTCTCATACTACACGAACACAGTTTGTTTACATGTCTGCACTCCGTATCCCTACTAATCACGAAGAATTGACCACTTGAATCAAAGAAATAGGCCCCCGTTTCGTGAAATGAGTTCCCACTGTTTGTAACCTGATTTCAGTCCACTCTCGATTCGGAGAACAATGACAGGATAAAACATTGCGTGCTAAACTCATCCTCTCAACGCTAAGTTTTCATGTAACAGTAATTCCAACTCGAAGAGCAACAGGATTGGCAGGAAAAAATGACTGTCAACGAAGATAGATTCTCCATGACAGCAGAAAGATATCTAGGTAAGTCTGTGCACTATATAAACATGGTCCTTATCGTCAAACTCTCTGTGCACAAACCCCGCTGGTGTAGAACACAGGCACCTGCCACCAGATAGTGATAGAAATAAACATAGAAAGTCTACTAGGAAATAAACTTGAATAGCCTGAATAGTAAGGCCTGATATATCCTCGTGTTACAGGATTTCGAGGGCTGAAAAAACATTTTTGATTACGTGTCTTATAACAATCCCAATACACTAAAAATTAGGTCTTACCTTTGAGAACATTTATTTCTGTCGACACTTGGATGGTCAAAGAACGGGTTATAGCTAAAACGGCACCTCAGCAAAACACTACTGGGTGAAAATGGCGCCGATTGGCCAAAACGGCAACCCACCCAAAGTAAAAACGGCTACTAGGCCTATTGCCTGGCAATTTGTTTTTACCTCGGTACTGAAATAAATGAAATTAAACTCACATGGTCAATTGCAAACACCAATATTTGTGAAATGTTAAAACATGTCATGCCGATGTCAATCTCCAGGTCGATGGGGAGGCATGGCTTAGAGATTATTATGCGGCGTCAAAGGGTATTGGGGGTAGGGCCCATATAGTTGATCCCCATATCGATCCTTACAGGGTATGGGTAGTATCGCATAGGTTGGTATCGCTGGGATGTAGATGGATGTCGATCCAAATCAACCTCCCTGTCGTATCAGTAATGTCGAGATGAGTGCCGATAGGAATGACGTTGAGAGTTCGAGTCCGAAGAATACAATTGATCGTGGTGTCGATGCTGTTCAATAGAACTGGAACCGGCGTGATCATAATTGTAGGATTGATCCAGGGAATGATGATCTGTAAAGTCTGAAACGTTCTCCTCCTGACAAAGTGCCTTCTGCTTGGAGGATTGATGCGACATTGAAGTCTGTTCTCGTGAAGATCGAAGTTGAGGGGAATGATCTGGTGGTCGACCCTTTGGATGTCGATTTCTGGAAAATCTATCTAGTGATCGACCCCTAGAGGAAGCACATTCCCTTGAATGTTGACTTGGGGAGACTCAATCTTAAGAGTGACTGTGTGATGTCGACCTCTCCTGAAAATGTCGACCCTTTAGGTTTCGACTCTGAGGATCGATCTGTAGAATGTCAACTCGTAGAACCAAGTCGATCCTGCATTGTTGGTCGAGATAGCTCTTGACTTCTATCCTGTCCAAAGGTCTGATCCATAAAAGAGTTATGGCTGGTCGAAGTAGAGCCGCGACCTCTGTAGTTGGACTTAATTCGGTAGACTGGTTTATGTTCGTCACCAGTACCATATGTGTTACTGACGTATGGTTGGCCTGGGAGTTTGTGGCAGTGGATGGATCGCTGGTACTTGTTGATAGGGAGCAAAGGGTGGGAATCTCCTCTTCTAAAATCTGTCTGACACAGCATCCTCCTCGACTGTAAGAGATGTTATGTTTGCTGGGGGTGGTTACTTCACCACAGATTTCAAGGATGGATGGACGGACGCTAGCCTTGGCTTACGTTTAGGCTTTTTTGACGATGAATGTCCATGCTCTGTGTCTTTCGATTTTGATCTGCGATCTACATTCCCCATTTGGGTATCACTCACTGTGCTTAGGCGCAGAGGCCTACTTTACTACACGGTTAGACTATTCCAGAATACAGATTGTGGCTCCCTTCTCGAACCACCGATAATGCGGTTTCGCCCAGGAAGTTACTGAGGAAATTCATCTCCAGGTATCAGTTGTCTTACTGAGACTTCAATGACAACTATTGGAGGATCAACAGAGACACGATCGCAGAAGTCCCCAATCTAATCTATCCCATCAAGTCGTCCGCAACATAGTTGGCAGAGGACGCGGTAGAGGACGAGGCTACAGAGGATCTTCAGCCAGGACGATTATGAAGCACTCCAGAGAATCGCCCAAGATGTCTCCTCCAAGTGACTCCTCCTCCCTCCTGATGACTGGGTCCTTCTGCCCTAGTCGTTGCTGTGACTCGCACACCAGTAGGCGAAAGACTAGGTCGGTTTCCAGCCAACGGGACCAGCCTGGATGACACCTTTGTGTCCAAGATCCTGCGAGACGGGTATCAGCTGCCACTCATAGGAGTTTCTCCAACAACGCCCATGCCACTCCCAAGGGTGTATCCAGCCAGACTGTTGACAACACTACAGGACACAATAGGTACGTTGATATCCAAAGATGCCCTAGAGTGTTTGGGACCTGTTCCCAGAGCCCCGCCAATATTTTTGGTCGCGAAATAAGACAGCAAGAAATATTTACATAAATTTCAACATACGGCTCTTCAACGCGCAGTTCCTTGAAAAACCAGCACATTTTCACATAATATCAGTCGTGCTCCTTTGCACCATCATTCGACAAGGGTCAGCCTTGATCTACAAGACACCTACCTGCGAGTATCTATCCATCATCACTAACATCAGCCCAAGCTCTCACCGAGTGAGATCGAATACAACTACGGCCAATTCAGAGTTTTCTCAGACCTTATCTTCAGATCGACAATTGTCGGGTCCCATTTCACCTCCCGTTGTGCCTGTACAGACATCTGCAAAGGTGGCTATCGAAGACTTCTCTGTAACCCTTTCTACCAACACTTCACCTGTTCATGGATGCATCGACAGTGGGTTGGGGAGCGCACCTGCAGTATCATCAGACATCAGGACTTTGGTCAGCCACAGAATCGACCCTCCACATCAACAATCTCGAATTCAAGGCCGTCATTCTAGCGATCTTCCTTTGGGCAGAAGTACTTAGGTCATCTCGACTCAAGATACAGTTGGACAACGCCTCAATCGTTTTGTACTTCAACAAAATGGGACCCACCAAGTCATCCTTCATGCTGACCCTGACGATGGACTTCTTTCAGCTGATCGATACTCTGGACATCAGCGCCCGAGCTCGACACATTCCAGGACCAACCAGGATCAACCATCCTCGACAGAATGGCTTCTACTGTTAAGATGTCAGTCCTAACTACATTGTGGGATATGTTTACATTCAAATGTACTGGAAGTGACCTCTGAACTTGACTACGAGTGTGCATGCATGAGCGGAAGCTCAGGTGCTTGATGGGAGGAACATGTGCACTGTGTAAATACGAATGGCGGGGATATGATATGAGCTGTGAATTGTATGAAGTTGAGGAAAGAAAGACAAGCAGTGGAAAGGGCCAAAAGGTAATTAATATCTACATCCAGAAATCTTCAAGGGGATTTGCTGCCTCTACCATTGCCCAGGGAATGACCTATTCGCCACCACGTTCAAGGCACAACTTCAAGGGGATTTGCTGCCTCTACCATTGCCCAGGGAATGACCTATTCGCCACCACGTTCAAGGCACAACTTCAAGGGGATTTGCTGCCTCTACCATTGCCCAGGGAATGACCTATTCGCCACCACGTTCAACGCACAACTCCTCAGATTCATCTGTCCGATTCCGAATCAAAAGGCATGAGAGTACAGTGCTTTGGCCATATCGTGGAAGAATTCCACCAACAGCACGTCTACCACGGGTGATACAGAAGGTGGTTGCCACGATTCAGCTTTGCCTGATTTCGATTGATAATCCTATGACACTTGAGGTCAGCAGAATAAGAACCACTAGAAAAGAAAGACTTCGAGCAGATTATTCTCAAAACAGTCTTCCTGCTACCTTTGGCTACTGCTGCGCGGGTCAGCAAGATACACAACTTGGATGTGTAAGAGGATTTGTTTTGAGAGGCACAGCCATGGAAAGGTCCATTTGGGTCTGCCTTCATCGCAAAGAATCAACTCCTGGAGCAACTGGACAGGCTATTCTTCATCCCGTCTTTGACCTCTATTCTACATCCCGAGGATTGCGAGGACATCTTGCTATGTCCAGTCAGAGCCTCATGCATTTACCTGCAGGCATCATCGATACATAGCAACTGCTCCCTCAGTGCTATCATGTAAGGATGTTTCTGAAAGTCTAACACAGTCTTTGCCTCCCACTACTTATGAGATATCTCCGTAACCGATGTGCAAGGGCTACACCACAGCCCGTCAACGCAGATAGAATTCGACTCCAACTCTCGCAGTCGAGTATTTCGTATCGTGTACAACATGGATAAATAATTGAGAGCCACTCCTTTGTTTTGTTATACTTAATTTGGGTCCCAGATCGAGGCTTCAATGGAAAAGTAGAAAACTCATCTGTAAAGACACTAGTCTTCCACTACCAGACACCATGAGGTGCGACCGTTATGGCGGTGTCCCAAACCCTTACCTGCTCACCTCTGCCTTGAGCATGTGATGAACCAGTATTGGTTTAAAGTTGCTCTAATGGATATTGTCAATCATGTCTTAACGAGTTCTATCCTGCGGTGGGATAGATAGCTTTGACACAGCGTAAAATGAGGTGCCAAACAAATAAGGCCTACGTCACTGGAGCATATGGTTGAGTTTGTTTGTAGAACTAATTGACTGGAGACCCATTCCGGAATTGGTTAAAGGTTGTTGTTCAATAGGTTACCCTACTTCAAACTGCGGTTGTCAAAAAAATAAAAAATACAATGCGAAAATATACCATGCATGTTATACCCAATGGCACAATTATTGTGTCCTAGTGGGGTAAAGGGGTATTCTCACTCCTAGCGCAGTGATCCACCCATAAAATCACAATTTGTCCTCGGACGCGAATGTGTGACAAGCTTAGGATTGAAGCATGTGAAGCACCAGCTTCCTCGTGTATATCTCATGGTTATAAGACGAATGTAATCCTATTCTAAGTGTTTCACCCTTTGATGTGTTGATAGAATTCAGCCTAGGTTCGAAACTTACAGGAGTCCTCTAGTCCGAGGCTAGTTAAATTCAGGAAGGACTAGTGACAACCACTTTTTTCTGGCAACTCTGTAGCAGATCATTGTTGGAGACTTGTGTGAATTATCTTCCTGAGGCAAGAGAGTTAACTGACTATAAAAGTCCAGTTTCCACCCTTGCCGAACTAGGCTGGTATTATGGATAACTTCTTTAAGAGGCATTCAGAAGTTAGAGTACTGAGTAAGGATAAGATATATGGATGATCAACTTCTTTATTACAATTAGGAGTGACGTTTCGGTGTAGGTTCTAACATAACAAGCTTCTCCACTCCAGTGTTACAGCATGTTAAACCTACTCATCTGTATAAGGTGAGGTGAAATGGGGTTTAACGTCGCGTCCAAGATTATTGCACTTATATAGCAACGTGCATGTACGTGTGTGTGTTTGTGTGGCTGCTTGTACTAGTCCGGACTGATGGCGATTTATAGTGCTAGCTCACTGAGATACCATGCCGCAGTTTAACATGAATACCCCACTCAGACACAGTATACTGACTCCGAGCAGACCAGTCCTTGTTTTAGCCCCTTAATGCCGAGCGCCAGACAGGGTAACAACAAGTACCATCTTTTAACGACTCTTTGTATGACGCAGCCGGGGATTGAACCCCGGACCTTCTGCTCTCCGGGCGGATGCTCTACCACTAGACCACGGAGGCTGTCCTCAACTGAATAAACACTGCCTCCTGTATATATACTTGTCAACCATACTCTGTACAACGGTGTTAGAACCTACACCAAAACTTCACTCCTAATCGAAATAAAGAAGTTGTTAATCCATATATCTTATCCTTACATGGTATTATAGAGTTAGATTTTGGCTGGACTAACCAGTTTATCCATAGTCCAATCAAACTCGTGCCACGAAATCAAAATCCGGTTGGTAACCTGTTATGCAGATTTCGGTCGATTGCAGGATTTGCAAAGCATGTGCACGGCCAACACGGTGTCAACAGATGTTTCCAAATCTTCACATGTTTTTAATCAAGGTGCTCAGGTGATCTGATGCACTTTGCGATGTAAGATCCGTTTTATCACAATACAGATCTTGATTTTCGATCAGATTGTCTTAACTGGATGCCACCATTTTGTTTAAGGAAATGCAAGTGATATGAGGGGTGGATGAATGACACATGTCTGCTTGTAACTAGCCTTGTCTCACAAAAAGCCTTATTATCTCTCTTCCATCTGCCCCTTCTGTAATTCAAAAATCCTACATGAAGCAAGTCTAGATTTTCCTCAGGTTTCTCCCACCTCATTGGGGCTCCTTTTCAATTTAGTCGTATTTGTTTCTATATTTTCAGAGAGTTAGCGTTAGTTTAGTTTGTAGCACACACAGGGGGACTCTGGGTAGGGTAGGTCCCAGTGCCACACCCATCCCACCTTGCTGGAGTTAGCGTCGTCTAGCTTGTAGCAATCAATCTTGCACTCTTGCGATCAATCTCTGACTTGTCTGATTGTGTGTCTTTGCACCAAGACAACATGGGTTTCTGTTGTGATTTCAGTCACTGACTTCCTGGGTCCAGATGTAATTATTTACAGGCCGCCTGGAATTTTACTGACAATGGTGTAACAATTGACTTGCCATTGCATGTGTTTGTGATGGGTGCCACCAATGGGGCAGGATACGATCACCTTTTCGCAAACACCTGGTATCATCACTATTTGATAGCAATTCATAAACATACTCATGATATAGTCGGAATCGTACTATCGACTCTGCTTTGTGTAGAGATTTCTATTGGACATAGAAAGCGTTTTATCACTTTAAACTGACAAACTCTCTGTTTCCAGCGAAGCACAACGTCCTGGTGTATCTGGAGGACGGGATCTCACAGCTCCTGGAGCACAGGGAGGACAATCCTAAAGTCAGCGCTGTCAAGTTTATCAGTGACTAGTAAGTGATTCCGACTCCCAACACAGACAGTAACCAATTTCCTCTAGTATGTACAGTTAATGTCATTGAATGTCATTGAATGTCATTGAATGTCAGTGAATGTCAGTGAATGTCAGTGAATGTCCCCGGGTCTTGTAAAGCATTTCGATTGATGTCCCCCCTCCCTCTCATGTCATGTGAGACCGCCTCTGATGGTAGAGCGGAAGGTCCGGGGTTCCATCCCCGACTGCGTCATACCAAACGATGTTAAAAGATGGTACCTGTTGTTACCCTGTCTGGCGCTCAGCATTAAGGGGCTAAAACAAGGACTGGTCTGCTTGGAGTCAGTATACTGTGTCTGAGTGGGGTATTCATGTTAAACTGCGGCATGGTATCTCATTGAGCTAGCACTATAAATCGGCATCAGTCTAGTACAAGCAGCCACACACATACATACACGTGCATGCGCGTCACTATATAAGTGCGATAATCTTGGATGCGATTAAACCCCATTTCACCTCACCTCATGTCATGTGACCTTGTCTTGTGTGTTTTCAGCTTTTCAAGTCTCCGTGACGGCAACCACACCATGTTCCGCGAGTACGTCTTCGTCCGCTCCACGCCACACAATCGAGCTTCTTTTGTGAAACTCTTCTGGAAGTGCTACAAACAAATCGGCAAAAAGGGAGGTAGGATATCTGTAGCTGATATAGGGAGTGGTGGCACGTGGGCATGTGCACAGTGCACAGATCACAAATCAGGTGAAGTTAAGCAACGTCGGTCGCGGAGTTTCTAGGGCTTCGGTCCTGCCCCACACTGAAGCACATGTAACACATGTGGTGTCACCTTGGGCAAGGGACTTTGTACGAAATGTGCCTCTGTTCATCCAGCAGTGAATGGGTACCCGGTAGGATGAGATGGCAATGTGGTTGTTAACCTTCTAGTGCCTAACAGGGGCGGTCGGGTAGCCTAGTGGTTAAAGCGTTCGCTCGTCACGCCGAAGACCCGGGTTCGATTCCCGACGTGGGTACAATGTGTGAAGCCCATTTCTGGTGTCCCCCGCCGTGATATTGCTGGAATATTGCTAAAAGCGGCGTAAAATCATACTCACTCACTCTAGTGCCTAACAGGCAGCTTGGGTTGTATACTCCCCAGGGAGCTAAGAATGATTCTTCAGTGCACACTGATCCAGTGACCGGGGTAATAATAGCTCTGAGCATGCCCCTGAGTGGTGTGGAAATATACATAGCCTATTATACTCTCTGGTAATGACATTAATAGCCACATGAGAGGCTACTGTTCAGTTGTTATTGGTCAATCACATGAGAGGCTACTGTTCAGTTGTTATTGGTCAATCACATGATAGGCTACTGTTCAGTTGTTATTGGTCAATCACATGATAGGCTACTGTTCAGTTGTTATTGGTCAATCACATGATAGGCTACTGTTCAGTTGTTATTGGTCAATCACATGAGAGGCTACTGTTCAGTTGTTGTTGGTCAATCACATGAGAGGCTACTGTTCAGTTGTTATTGGTCAATCACATGAGAGGCTACTGTTCAGTTGTTATTGGTCAATCACATGAGAGGCTACTGTTCAGTTGTTATTGGTCAATCACATGATAGGCTACTGTTCAGTTGTTGTTAGTCAATCACATGATAGGCTACTGTTTAGTTGTTGTTATTGGTCAATCACATGAGAGGCTACTGTTCAGTTGTTATTGGTCAATCACATGAGAGGCTACTGTTCAGTTGTTATTGGTCAATCACATGAGAGGCTACTGTTCAGTTGTTATTGGTCAATCACATGATAGGCTACTGTTCAGTTGTTGTTAGTCAATCACATGATAGGCTACTGTTCAGTTGTTATTGGTCAATCACATGATAGGCTACTGTTCAGTTGTTGTTGGTCAATCACATGATAGGCTACTGTTTAGTTGTTGTTGGTCAATCACATGATAGGCTACTGTTCAGTTGTTATTGGTCAATCACATGATATGCTACTGTTCAGTTGTTATTGGTCAATCACATGATAGGCTACTGTTTAGTTGTTGTTGTTGGTCAATCACATGATAGGCTACTGTTCAGTTGTTATTGGTCAATCACATGATAGGCTACTGTTTAGTTGTTATTGGTCAATCACATGATAGGCTACTGTTCAGTTGTTGTTGGTCAATCACATGATAGGCTACTGTTCAGTTGTTATTGGTCAATCACATGATAGGCTACTTCTCAGTTGTTGTTGGTCAATCACATGATAGGCTACTGTTCAGTTGTTATTGGTCAATCACATGATAGGCTACTGTTTAGTTGTTGTTGTTGGTCAATCACATGATAGGCTACTGTTTAGTTGTTGTTGTTGGTCAATCACATGATAGGCTACTGTTCAGTTGTTATTGGTCAATCACATGATAGGCTACTGTTCAGTTGTTGTTATTGGTCAATCACATGATAGGCTACTGTTCAGTTGTTATTGGTCAATCACATGATAGGCTACTGTTCAGTTGTTGTTGGTCAATCACATGATAGGCTACTGCTCAGTTGTTGTTGGTCAATCACATGATAGGCTACTGTTCAGTTGTTATTGGTCAATCACATGATAGGCTACTGTTCAGTTGTTATTGGTCAATCACATGATAGGCTACTGTTCAGTTGTTATTGGTCAATCACATGATAGGCTACTGTTCAGTTGTTATTGGTCAATCACATGATAGGCTACTGTTCAGTTGTTATTGGTCAATCACATGATAGGCTACTGTTCAGTTGTTATTGGTCAATCACATGATAGGCTACTGTTCAGTTGTTATTGGTCAATCACATGATAGGCTACTGTTCAGTTGTTATTGGTCAATCACATGATAGGCTACTGTTCAGTTGTTGTTGGTCAATCACATGATAGGCTACTGTTCAGTTGTTATTGGTCAATCACATGATAGGCTACTGTTCAGTTGTTATAGGTCAATCACATGATAGGCTACTGTTCAGTTGTTATTGGTCAATCACATGATATGCTACTGTTCAGTTGTTATTGGTCAATCACATGATAGGCTACTGTTCAGTTGTTATTGGTCAATCACATGATAGGCTACTGTTCAGTTGTTATTGGTCAATCACATGATAGGCTACTGTTCAGTTGTTATTGGTCAATCACATGATAGGCTACTGTTTAGTTGTTATTGGTCAATCACATGAAAGGCTACTGTTCAGTTGTTATTGGTCAATCACATGATAGGCTACTGTTCAGTTGTTATTGGTCAATCACATGATAGGCTACTGTTTAGTTGTTATTGGTCAATCACATGATAGGCTACTGTTTAGTTGTTATTGGTCAATCACATGATAGGCTACTGTTTAGTTGTTATTGGTCAATCACATGCAAGGCTACTGTTCAGTTGTTATTGGTCAATCACATGATAGGCTACTGTTTAGTTGTTATTGGTCAATCACATGATAGGCTACTGTTCAGTTGTTATTGGTCAATCACATGATAGGCTACTGTTTAGTTGTTATTGGTCAATCACATGAAAGGCTACTGTTCAGTTGTTATTGGTCAATCACATGATAGGCTACTGTTCAGTTGTTATTGGTCAATCACATGATAGGCTACTGTTTAGTTGTTATTGGTCAATCACATGATAGGCTACTGTTTAGTTGTTATTGGTCAATCACATGATAGGCTACTGTTTAGTTGTTATTGGTCAATCACATGATAGGCTACTGTTCAGTTGTTGTTATTGGTCAATCACATGCAAGGCTACTGTTCAGTTGTTATTGGTCAATGTCTGTTACAGATCTGCTGAGTATCCAGGAGTACCACTCCCTGCTTGGGCTGCTGTGTGCCGACTTCCCCTTCACCATGGTCCAGAAGACAGCCAGGTACCCCCCACACACACACACACACACACAGCCAGGTAACACACCAACACACACAGACAGGTACCCCCTACACTCAGACAGACTCACACACAGACACACCCAGCCAGGAACCCCCTAGACTCAGACACACACCCAACCACCCACACCTACACCCACAGACAAACAGACACACAGCCAGCCAGACAGGTACCCCCTACACTCAGACAGACTCACACACAGACACACAGACAGACACACATCCAGGTACCCCCTACACTCAGACAGACTCACATACAGACACACACAGCCAGGAACCCCCTACACTCAGACACACACCCAACCACCCACACCTACACCCACAGACAAACAGACACACAGCCAGCCAGACAGGTACCCCCTACACTGAGACAGACTCACACACACACACACACACACACACACACACACACACACACACACACACACACACACACACACACACACACACACACACACACACACACACACACACACAGAGCCAGGTACCCCCTACACTCAGACACACACCCAACCACCCACACCTACACCCACAGACAAACAGACACACAGCCAGCCAGACAGGTACCCCCTACACTGAGACAGACTCACACACACACACACACACACAGAGCCAGGTACCCCCTACACTCAGACACACACCCAACCACCCACACCTACACCCACAGACAAACAGACACACAGCCAGCCAGACAGGTACCCCCTACACTCAGACAGACTCACACACAGACACACAGACAGACACACAGCCAGGTACCCCCTACACTCAGACAGACTCACATACAGACACACACAGCCAGGAACCCCCTAGACTCAGACAGACAGACAGACACACAGCCAGCCAGACAGGTACCCCCTACACTCAGACAGACTCACACACAGACACACACAGCCAGGAACCCCCTATACACACAGACACAGACAGCCAGGTACCCCTTATACACACAGACGCACACAGACACACACAGACACACGCAGCAAAGTATCCCCCTCACACAGACACACGTAGACACATATAGATGTGTATCTACCTGTAGTGGTGTATCTACCTGTAGTGGTGTATCTACCTGTAGTTGTGTATCTACCTGTAGTGGTGTATCTACCTGTAGTGGTGTATCTACCTGTAGTGGTGTATCTACCTGTAGTGGTGTATCTACCTGTAACTGTGTATCTACCTGTAGTGGTGTATCTACCTGTAGTGGTGTATCTACCTGTAGTTGTGTATCTACCTGTAGTTGTGTATCTACCTGTAGTGGTGTATCTACCTGTAGTGGTGTATCTACCTGTAGTGGTGTATCTACCTGTAACTGTGTATCTACCTGTAGTGGTGTATCTACCTGTAGTGGTGTATCTACCTGTAACTGTGTATCTACCTGTAGTGGTGTATCTACCTGTAACTGTGTATCTACCTGTAGTTGTGTATCTACCTGTAGTTGTGTATCCACCTGTAACTGTGTATCTACCTGTAGTGTTGTATCTACCTGTAGCTGTGTATCTACCTGTAGTTGTGTATCTACCTGTAACTGTGTATCTACCTGTAGTTGTGTATCTACCTGTAGTGGTGTATCTACCTTTAACTGTGTATCCACCTGTAGTTGTGTATCTACCTGTAACTGTGTATCTACCTGTAGTGGTGTATCTACCTGTAGCTGTGTATCTACCAGTAGTGGGGTATCTACCTTTAACTGTGTATCTACCTGTAGTGGTGTATGTACCTGTACCTGTGTATCTACCTGTAGTTGTGTATCTACCTGTAGTGGTGCATCTACCTGTAACTGTCATGACTTCCAATGCAGGATCATCTTGATCGACGATGCCCTCGACTGCCTCATCTGCTTCTCCGACTTCATCTATGCATTGCAGGTGCAGTTCTATTACGAAGGTGAGAGCGTTCAAAAGTTCCCAATCCACATGTCTTTCTGGCTGATAATACATTACAATAATACAATTGTACAATGATGCAATACAATTCCCTCACTTGTCCAGACGGCCTCCGTGGTCTAGTGGTAGAGTGTCCGCCCAGAGAGCAGAAGGTCCGGGGTTCAATCCCCGGCTGCGTCATACCAAAAGACATCAAAAGATGGTACTTGTTGTTACCCTGTCTGGTGCTCGGCATTAAGGGGCTTAAACAAGGACTGATCGGCTCGGAGTCAGTATACTGTGTCTGAGTGGGGTATTCATGTTAAACTGCGGCATGATATCTCGGTGAGCTAGCACTATAAATTGGCATCAGTCTCATTCCGAAAAGGTAGTGGAAACTCCTGTGCTGTGTTCCCAAGAACAGAAAAAACATCTCAGCGTGCCACACAACCGCACCAGAAGCACTTGACCAAGCCGGCATGCTCGTCACTCTCTCATTTTCAAGTCTACAGTGTGCATGGAAAAAATTTGTCTGTGCTTTCGTAATCCAAGCCATCCTATCTGAATTAATAGTTTTTCATAAAAGTTGTCGCTTGGATTACATTCTTCAAACCTTAGCTCTTCATACCATAACTTTTTCAAATTTAACTTACTTGTTTTACAAAGTTTGGTTAAATGTTAACCATTTTGATATGATGAGATTTTGTGACATCTGCCGCAAGCGTGTTCCAGATTGTGATCCGCACCCCATCTGTTCAAGGTGGATCATAAAAGACGATATTTAATCCACTTTTCTTCCTCATAACAAGAAGACTAAGGTAACACCCACTTTTCCTTCAGACGACATGTTTTTGAGGTCACCGCTGAGATTGATGCTGAGTGTCCTTCACCTGACACCCTTTGCAGTCCCTCGACACTTTCATCTGAAGGGATCCCTCTTATTATCTGATGCTAAAGTTTGACACAGATCAGGATACGCCCTCACCATAAAATCATTCAGCTAACGTTGAACCAACACCAATTAGACGGGAGAATAATGAGGTTCGGCACCGATGCAACCTCTATGAAGTGATGGTCACTGTTCTGAAGATCAATACCTGTGTCTAAACACAACAGATCATCGCAACGCTGACAACCGCCTTGACGTTTTACACAGTCGTCCTGTACTCCCGGGTACCCAGACTCCCGGAATCATCCTTCATAACCTTCATGATTCTCACCTGGGGATTCAAACGTCACAGATTTACAGGGAACTGACTACATATAAACCCTTAAACTTCAGAACTCGACACATCACTTTGTACATCTACCATAAAGTTCACACTGGATTGTCAGTGTGTGGAGCATTGGACCTCGTCCCCGACAAGAATGCAGTTTTTCATGTTTTTTGCACAGGATGATTTACCTGTCACGTGTCAAGCTTTCACTGACTGTAAACAACTTTGCTGGAAGTAGGTCAGACCGACCTAATGAGAGACGTGCACCTTCACAGATCGGTTTGCCTGATTACTTGCATGTGATGCCGCTCCCGCACGATCAGATCAGTGAGAATGGGCCACTAACTTCAGTAGACGCCCGATGACGTCATGTGGAGTACTTCACGCTGAGGCCCCGACCGCCATGGTCACCTCAATATAAGAACGGGAGCACTTATACGACACCCGGAAGGACAAGTCATCCCTTACTTTTGAGGATCTGGAATTGGTGAAAACAGACGCATTGATGCAGCATACGCTTCAAATGTTCTCTACGCTCCTTCACGGCACAACTTTAACACTACCCTGCTTCTGCATGGTCTCATTCATGATACTTCGTACCATCATTCAGACCGAAGAATTATACATGCAGCCTCGATCTCCAAGATTCAGCTTACTTTCAACGGTCGTTACATCGAGACCTCGACAATCAGCTGGGGAATGCACTTATTACATCCACTTGGGACCAGCCCTGTGATCAGCAGACGAACGGAATCTCCATGTCAATACCTCCGCGGGTATATTTGCTACCAGATTTAACAGACAGGTTGCAACCTTCGTTTCTCCAGTTCCGGCGCCCTGGTTGTGACCAACAACGCCGTGACAATATGGTGGCAGACACACCAAGTACCACCGATAACACAGAAAATTAGACACACCATGTACCACCGATAACACAGAAAATCAGACACACCAAGTACCACCGATAACACAGAAAATCAGACACACCATGTACCACCAATAACACAGAACATCAGACACACCATGTACCACCAATAACACAGAACATCAGACACACCAAGTACCACCGATAACACAGAACATCAGACACACCAAGTACCACCGATAACACAGAACATCAGACACACCAAGTACCACCGATAAAACAGAACATCAGACGCACCAAGTACCACCGATAACACAGAAAATCAGAGACACCAAGTACCACCGATAACACAGAACATCAGACACACCAAGTACCACCAATAACGGAGAAAATCAGAGACACCAAGTACCACCGATAACACAGAAAATCAGACACCAAGTACCACCGATAACACAGAACATCAGACACACCAAGTACCACCGATAACACAGAACATCAGACACACCAAGTACCACCGATAACACAGAACATCAGACATACCAAGTACCACGGATAACAGAGAAATTCAGACACACCAAGAATCTGTTACTGCTTTTGGTTGTGCCTCATTGCCAGAGCTTGTCACATTAGCAGAGAAACCAACACTATAGCTCCAAACTGGCCAAACCTTCTACTCCATCATCACACCAAACAAGTTCATAAGAGGCTTCAGGTGTGGAACATATTACATTCCACCTCACTAGAAGAGGAACATATTACATTCCAGACCCGTGAAGATTCCGGGGTAGAATAGGTCTTCGGCAACCCATGCTTGCCGTAAAAAGGTGACTATGCTTGTCGTAAAAGGCGACTAACGGGATCGGGTGGTCAGGCTCGCTGACTTGGTTGATGCATGTCATTGATCCCAATAAAGTGGATCGATGCTCATGATATCAATCACTGGATTGTCTGGTCCAGATTCGATTATTTACAGACCACCGTCATATAGCTGGAATATTGCTGAGTGCGGCGTTAAACAACAAACCAACCAACCAACATATTACGTTCCACCTCACTAGAAGAGGAACATATTACGTTCCACCTCACTAGAAGAGGAACATATTACGTTCCACCTCACTAGAAGAGGAACATATTACGTTCCACCTCACTAGAAGAGGAACATATTACGTTCCACCTCACTAGAAGAGGAACATATTACGTTCCACCTCACTAGAAGAGGAACATATTACGTTCTATCTCACTAGAAGAGGAACATATTATGTTCTATCTCACTAGAAGAGGAACATATTACGTTCCACCTCACTAGAAGAGGAACATATTACGTTCCACCTCACTAGAAGAGGAACATATTACATTCTGCCTCTTGAACAAGATATTCAGACTGAGCAGCACAGACAGTCTTCAGATCTACGAGGAATTTATAGGATGATAAATGGAAGAGCTTTGACCAGTTTGCGAACTATAAAGGATTTACAGCAGCTAAAGTTACTTTACCACAAGTAGAAGAGCTCCTTTGTCTCTTACGTACCACAAGGAATCTCAAAAGTTCAACATTAGAAACCTCTCTTGCAGCCATCAGCTTCGATCTAACAATGCATAACGGAATCAAACTCACCAAAGCTGATAGCCTTTCTAGGATCGTACAGGCTTGAAGATCAGCTTAAGAAATTCAGAGCCCCAACCTGGGATGGGTATGTCCCATAACAACAAACTGATTTTGGACATCGGACTCAGAACACATCATTTCTACTGGTCTTAGCCACGACAGCTGGAATGTCATGTACACGAATTGACAGTGGCAAAATTGCATTGGATCATCTGAACCCGAGATGGGATTTTATCACCAAGAATCAGCTGCCTGGTCAACCAGACAGTTTCACATCCCACTCTCATCCATACTGGGATCATAGGACAGTGAAAGTTATCCCTATGTCCAGTTAGAGCACTACACATCTACCTGCAGAGGACAAGTTCCAGAAGGCAAAGAGTATAAGAAGACTGTTTATTCCGTTATCTTGGCATAATTCACAGAAGTATCCACAACAACCGTCTTCTTCTGGATGAGAGCAGTCACTCTCAGAGCCTACAAGGCAGCAGGCCTGGATCCACAACAACCATCTCCTTCTGGATGAGAGCAGCCACTCTCAGACTACAAGGCAGCAGGCCTGGATCCACAACAACCATCTCCTTCTGGATGAGAGCAGCCACTCTCAGACTACAAGGCAGCAGGCCTGGATCCACAACAACAATCTCCTTCTGGATGAGAGCAGCCACTCTCAGACTACAAGGCAGCAGGCCTGGATCCACAACAACCATCTCCTTCTGGATGAGAGCAGCCACTCTCAGACTACAAGGCAGCAGGCCTGGATCCACAACAACCATCTCCTTCTGGATGAGAGCAGCCGCTCTCAGACTACAAGGCAGCAGGCCTGGATCCACAACAACCATCTCCTTCTGGATGAGAGCAGCCACTCTCAGAGCCTACAAGGCAGCAGGCCTGGATCCACAAGAACCCTCTCCTTCTGGATGAGAGCAGCCACTCTCAGAGCCCACAAGGCAGCAGGCCTGGATCCACAACAACCATCACCTTCTGGATGAGAGCAGCCACTCTCAGACTACAAGGCAGCAGGCCTGGATCCACAACAACCATCTCCTTCTGGATGAGAGCAGCCACTCTCAGAGCCAACCAGGCAGCAGGCCTGGATCCACAACAACCATCTCCTTCTGGATGAGAGCAGCCACTCTCAGACCCCACAAGGCAGCAGGCCTGGATCCACAACAACCATCTCCTTCTGGATGAGAGCAGTCACTCTCAGAGCCCACAAGGCAGCAGGCCTGGATCCACAACAACCCTCTCCTTCTGGATGAGAGCAGCCACTCTCAGAGCCAACAAGGCAGCAGGCCTGGATCCACAACAACCCTCTCCTTCTGGATGAGAGC